TAGTATTATTATTATTATTATTATTATTATTATTATTATTATGTGCTGTTAATTTGTACGTAAATAAACATGAATTAAATTTAATTGAATTAGGATGTTGAGCTACCACACGAATAAATAAGAATTAATTGTGTTATTATTATTATTAACTTCTATGGCTGTATGTATGTGTATTGTCCTTTCACACCGCATAATGGAATAACCATTCCAAATGTACTTCTTTTTTTTCTCGCCTTTTAATGCTAACTTTAATTTTTCTTGGAATTATTATTAATTTAATGCCATTATATAGACTGTCTTACTTGTATTTTGTTCTTTAGTTATATCTGTATTTCTATGTACTCGTGCCAACTTTGTTATTGGCCTCTGTGTTGTCAAGTTTGCACGTACATAAACACGAATTGAATTATTATTATTATTAGTAGTATTAGTAGTAGTAGTAGTAGTAGTAGTAGTAGTAGTATTTCAAAAAGCATACTCCATTCGTGCCCAGCCTTCCAAGAGGCTGCTCTCTTCAGGTTTTCTGGATAAAATTTTGTACTCATTTCTAATCTCTCACGTGTACTATATGCCCCACCCATATCAGCCCCCTTTGATTTGATGACCCTAAAAACATTTGGAGAAGAGTAAAGATTGTGACCCTCCTCTCTGTTTAATATCCCCAAGTCTTTTACCAGTTCCTTTCTTTTAGTCTAAATATTCACCTTAATGCCATGTTCCCAAACACTCTTAGTTTGTAGCCTTCTCTCAGGATCAATGACCAAGTTTCCCACCCAGAGGAATCAGCACACAAAATGACATTTGTGTGCATTTTAATATTTACGTTGCTACATAGGAGACGGGAGGACAGATTCTGTACTGAGTACCAGCAAACATTCTGCAAATTTAATATACTCTTTATATACCTACCGAGCTACACTAGAGTAGACCAAGGTGGTGATATCTCGTCAGTCAACTTCAGTTCTTATCATGTTGTAACATACCAGTCTCCAGAGAACAGTTCTTAAAATAAAAGTTTAGAAATTCGATTACACGTTTTTTGAGGCATTCGAATCGAAAAATTGCAAACAAAAGTACGCCCATTTATATTACTTTTGTCATGTCTGTTTTGTCCCAACGCATGTAACGCCTCAAGGACTGCTGAGCAGATTCTCATGAAATGTAACACTGAAGAGATTCACTAAACGTTGCTGAGGTACTTTAGATTAGGAACTACGTGCATTTCTTATAAAATATCATCAAAGTCGTGCAGTGTGGCTGTGTCCAACCACACTGGACGGCGTTGATGATTTTTTTACAAGTCACATGCATTTCTGCTAGCATCCAGAACATAACTCACTTAATACTTATCAGAGAGAAAAATATTTCGAGAAAACTTGTGTAGAATAGTGATATACAAAGTTTACGCTCAGTACAGGCTTTCATACACCTCAAGATTTGTGGGGTTATCAAAAGGGACTGGGCTCCACAATATTTTTATGCTATACTGTTACACTATATAGTTATAGCATTGCTACTATGTTGCTACGCTATATACACCATATTGCTACTATACTGCTATTCCATTACTATTATATTACTATACTATACTATATAGTGGGTACATTGCTATCATATTGTTAAGCTACACTGCTATACTATTGTTGCTGAATTTCTACGCTATTGTTGCGCTATAATGTTATGCCATATTTCTACTCTAAATGCTATATTACATTTCCTACGAACGAGGGAAACGAAGCAAGGACAGATATGAATGTCCTTTCAGGTTCTTTGTTCAGCAGAAAATCAAAGTACGAGTCACTTGTGTTATTAATATTGAGACACGAAGCAATCAAATGTCCAACTTACCGTCTGATGGAGTTTCAAGTGGAAGCATTCCTAAATAACGCAGCCCATTTAACACGGGTTTAACTTGGTTGTGGTATTCCTCATTCATTAACATTTCTGGATTTGGGTCGTCGTTTGTTATAGGTAACTTTCCTGAACTTCCACTGATCACGGTCTTCTGATATGCCCTCTTAACTGGAATTAATTTTCTGTATACAAATTTATACACTCGCGCGTACACTCATGTTCGTTGCAAGACAGGCGAGATTCCTCTTTAAAATTTCACAAGAATTGTTGTTACTATGGTGATGTGTTTACCCCCTGTATAAACAAGAGAACACTATAACCACTCATGTTCCTCTATGTTGAGATGTTATCATCACACAGAACAAGCACAAAGGGACTAGAGATATTAATCAGAAATTGTTTACTACAAATAAATTCTCTTCTCTTCAACCACTTAGTGATATTAACTCAATTTTCGTAACCCTGACAATTAAGCGATTCATGAACAACATACTTGTCTCTATTATATTAAGAGTTCGGTCAAAAATAGGAATTTTACATAAAGACATTTTTAGACTCCAAAAGATCAAGTCATAATTAAATATTTTCAAATAAAAAATACAGTAATTTTAAATCTGTAACTGCAGGAAAGCAAGATTAGCTACTCCTGCGCTCCCTTCTAACTTTGACACTAAGAACACACATATATGTATATATAATATGCTTTGGTTTAGTTTGTATATAGTACATACATTAATTTACATACCGTACTTCACAGTTTTCTTCAAATGATGAAATTTTAGAGTTTCATTTCTTTAAGAAAACTCCGTGGCTTTTAGTCCACAAGAGAACTATACCGACCGGGCGACCGCCGCTTGTCGGCGAAGTTGGTGCCATCTTTTGCGGACAGAAGGTGTCGCATGGTCAGTGCAACGGATTCCCATGGCCCTTAATCTCGGTTTTCTAGACCGGAGCAGCTACTTTTCCATTCAAGTATCCTCATGAGGCTGAGTGAACCCTGTCTCAGATCCACTACTCTTCTGATAACAGGTAGCGCCAGAATCGAACCTGGGATCTCTGGATCTCTGACCACTAGACCACAGAGGCGTTGAAAAATTGTCATTTGTCATACCTGGGGATGTATCTTTGCTTTAAATTTTCCACCTTCTTCCAGGTGTTTATTACTCGTACATGTCAGATGAAACTTATGTCAATTTTGTTTTATGAACGTTTAATTTGATTTTTATATGTTTTGAATAGTTACTACTTAATAGCTGAACCATATTTTAACATCTGGTTGTAATTAAGAGATATTTCTCTTCCTACTCTTGCTCTCAAATTAATTACCAAATTTTTTCAATATCCAGTGAAACCTTCTCCTAATTTGCTTTCTTATTTTGAACCTGAAGATAAGATCATCACCAATGTTAATTTAATATCACAATACTGAAAGAGAACTTGAATAAAAATATTGGCACATAATTAATTAATGCATATGTATTGAAAAAACAATAGGGATAAACAACATAAATACTTTATATCATTGCAGAATATTATGTCTAGGCAATAAGTTCAAAGAAGAATGTCAGTTATGTCATAATATATGTTTATTCAGGCAGATCATTTACTTTACAACTTACTAAAATATACAATTTGAAACGAATAGCATTGTAACAACTACTACATTATTAAAATAGTCGTAATACTGAAGCAGAATTAGGCACTTCACATCCCATGTGTCATTCCTTTCACACAGGTATGTATAAAATTTATTATATTTCACCAATTCAGAAGTGATTTACTCAAATTCATAAATAACATTCAACTAAAACTGGAACAATTGCTGTTTTGTGGCTGAAACAGGGGTCAGTAAAAATGATACATACTCATATGAACAAGAAGTGACATTCATTGTAAAACAAGAAGAGGTAAAGGAAAGTTTTGGTAAATAAGGCACTTTAAATATATCTTTTAGAACAAAGAATTAAATATAGTTTGAAACATGAGAATATGGATTACAACATTTGGGTGATTTATATAATTATTATCTGTTTTAAAATTTTGGCAATAAATTATCTTATAATTTGTTTTTAGTATATTACATCCTTCATGTCCTTTGTTAGAGGCACTTCTAAGGAGTCAGGTGCCATGCTGACATAGTAGCTCGTATCTGACTGGTTCTCAGCTTCTGATATTGTACTGTGCCTGAGACTTAAACTGTAAAAAAGAAAAAGTCGTTATTACTATAGTGTTTTAGTTGTATAGAAATACAGATAAGATTGCATTCCCATGTTTTATCCTATCATTTCACCCTGCTCCCCACAACAACCTTCAACTCTCTGATGAAAGTTATTTTTACATTACTCCATGTTAAGATGAATCACAGACTTGAGCCAATATGTAAAAGGAACACTTCTCCCATATATCATGCCACCTACTGAAGCACAAGAGTAAGTTATCTCTTACATAGACAACAAAAATGAGTTCATGCTTTTAGGTTTAAGGCCAGGAATGACAAGTTTCATGAGAGTGATTTTAAGCATTTTGGCTAGGAGTCAACAGCTAAATAATCATCTTGACATTTAGAGTGAACACTGTCTTTAGGTAAATTTACCAACTGCCTTAACACTAAAATACAACTACTTTTACATGTCATTACATTACATTATGTTATATTTCCTACATCCAAAATTAGTAAAATTACTGTAGGATGTGAAATAAGTGAAAAAGAAACCATACGTACAGCACAACTGAAGTTTTCACATAAGAAAACACACTGATTACCCATGAGGTTATTCAAAAATACATCCACATATATACACATTAATACTGTCAACTTATGCTGTTTACACAACCTTTAAATGGATGCGTCATTCTTCAGAAAATGGTTATTCATCAACAGAGTAGAATGAGTTTGTGTTTAAGTATCATTTTAGTGTTATTTAAAATTGTGCTTTTTCATTCATAAGACTTTTGAAATCAGACAGCTGATAATTGAAAAGTTTTTATCCCAGCATATTATGTGCCTTTCTGAAAGCATGAGAGGTTAGCAGTGTATGTACGAGTATTGAGATAGTGCTTGTGTCTCGCGTTAACACTGTGTACATCTGCATTGGTCTGAAAATGTTTATTATTTTTATGAAGTTTATCAATGAAAACACATACTCACATGCAAAAGTTAAGATCTCTAATCTCTCAAACATACCTCTGCAGTAATTACAGGATTTGACAACCGTCATGAGTGTAACAATTTTCTTCTGCAATGTAAATAGCTTTCTGCTGCCAGATGTACTAACAGGAAACTTATTCAATACTTCATTAAAGAGTGAAAGTAAACAAAATAAATTTATTTGAAGAAGGTCAATGTTGCTGATATGCAACACAGAATTGCATAACATGCTTCACTTAGCTTTAGAATCAACTGATCATTATGGTTTTTTCAGTTCAATGATTATCAATGTGTAAGCCAAGGAATTTTGTGTTTACTACCTCTTCTATATATTTATCATTATATCCAGTTTTTAATAGATATATTGATGAGATTTTTGTTATAAATTTTATTACCTCTGTTTTATCTAGATTTAGAATCAGCTTTGTAAGATTGTTTGCAGAAAACCATTTATTCATCCCCGTGTGGAGGCGGGGACGAATACCTCCCTGTGAGTCATAAGAGGTGACAAAAAGGGAAGTCTCACATCTGAGACAGTAAAATCTGGTTGCGAGTTCCAAGGGGCTCAGACCCGAGAAATATTGCAATTGCAAGAGTCAGCATCATATACAAAAGGCAGACCCATCCTCTCATCAGAGAGGGCGCCCCACAAGAACAAGACGGTAAATGCCAAACAGTCATGAGCCCCAGATGGGGCTACACCAAGACTTACTGACTGACTTACTGACCCGTCAGTCACAATGTGACTTGGGCCTGGACATTTATTTATTTGAGAGATAACGTTGTTTAATAGTATGTAGAAATCATGTAAATTTTTAATAGAAATTATGGCACTAGTGTCATCAGAAAATATTATGGGTACTGATGAGTTGTTTAGTGTAGGAGAGGGGTCATTTATACAGAACTGGAAAAGCAAAAGCCCTAAAATTGTTCCCCAGTCTGACTTGGTATTTTGTGTTAAATCTGTTGAATTTACGAGTATTTCAATCATTTTTCCTTATCTGTTAGGCAGGATCTGAACAAATATGCTGTTCCTCCTTAATTACAAATAAATTTAATTTAATTAACAGAATTTCATGATTTACACAGTTAAATGCCTTTGCCAAATCACAGAATATTCCATCAACATGCATTTCTTTTATTAGTAGGTTTAATATGTTGTTTGTCAGCTTAAAGGCTACTTTTTTCAGTGGATATTCCTTTCCTGAAAACAAACTTTTCTAGAACTAGTATAT